GAGCCATCTCCTTGTGCAAACACTGCCCTTCTGTTCTTCCATGATTGATCCCTCCAAGGAGTGTATCTACCTGATATAAATGTTCACCTCATATGCCTATCTATTGCTTGGCTGGAAGCCACAAGACTGAGTTCAATTCCTCAGTTCCAGACCTGAAGGGTGGCTAGGGGCCATACTCTTAGGGGTCTTACCAGGCTCTGTCAAACCAGCAAACCTGGTCTTTTTTTTTTTTTTTTTGGGATTTTGAGTTTTGTTCCACATTGTTCTCCTCTCTATCCAGGATGTCCTGCACCAAACCCCCTCCAAGTGGTTGACAGTAGTTATTGGCAGGAAATTTAAAAAAATCCTTTTATTATCTGAGGAAGTAAAATCTAATGACTACTTACTAGATTTCTCCTTGGTCTAATTCTTACCTGAGATTAAAAACCAAAACACCAAACTCATTGCCATCTAGTGAGATCTGACTCAAAGAGACCCCTCTCTGGGTTTCCGAGGCAGTATCACCACGGAAGTAGATTGCCCAACCTTCCTTCCGAGGAGTGGCTGGTGGGTTTGAACCACCAGGCTCCTAGTTAGCAGTCAAATAGATTAATAGGAAAAAAAATGTACCAGGATAATATTCTTTTAAACCTAGGCAAGAATTCTCTTTTTTTTTCCCCCCAAGTTATGTTTTAACTTCATGTACTTACTTAGTTTTAGGGTGTTTACATAAGACACATCCTTTGACCATTTCTATGCTTTCCACAAAACTACTGAAGACACTGAATACTGAATAAACACTAATCATTGAAAGCAATTAAGTTTATCAAATGTTTTATATATAAATATATACGTATATGTATATGTATACACACATATGTATAGAACTATGTAGTAAATTCACTCAAGTTTAATCCCAAACCTGTCTTTATCTTATAACACAAAAGTACCACCACATGAATTAGGTAGTGGGCAGTTTAAAAGCAAATTTGTTCAGTTCTGGTAACAATATTTTTCTTCTAGTTGGTATCAATTTGTTACTCACAACTTTCCTAATCTATATTGTATAATTTGCTAAACCACTTTAAATAATTTTAGAAGTTGACTTAATAAACACTTGACATATAGGTAGAAGAAAATAATTTTAAAAAACGTTCTAGTACTAACCAGTGCCATCTTCCAACAGAGCACAAAGTGAGCTTTTGTTGATGTGGGTCAGAGTGCAGGCTCTGGTGTCAGCTAGTCTGAGTTCAGCTCTGCCACTTATGAGCTATGGGACTTTGAGAAACCACTGCTTTAGTTTCCTTATCTGTAAAGTGGAATAATACTACTTACCTCAGAAGTTAATGAGGTAATATATGGACAGCATTTAGAACAGTGCCTACCACACAGTGAGCACTGGTACTGTACTGTAGTGGTTAAGGGACTTGGGTGCTAACCAAAAAGTTGGTGGTTTGAACCCACCTGCTGCTCTATAGAAGAAAGATGGGGGCAGTCTGCTTTTGTAAAGATTTATACCCTTGGAATCGCAGTGGGAGTCTTTATGAGTCAAAATTGACTTGATGGCAGAGAATTTGGTTTGTTTTATTACTGTGGTTATGGTTTATAATGTTCTCTATAGGGAAATGATAGACAGCAGGAGGACCTGTAGGCCACATCCACCAAGGCAGCTCTGTTTGTTGTTGTTGTTGTTATGTGCCGTCGAGTCGGACCCGACTCATAGTGACCCCTCCTTGGGTTTCCGAGGCAGTATCACTACGGAAGTAGATTGCCCCATCTTCCTTCTGAGGAGTGGCTGGTGGGTTTGAACCGCCAGCCTTCTGGTTAGCAGTCAAGTGCCTTAGGCACTACACTACCAGAGCTCCCAAGCAGCTCTGTAGAACATAGTATTTACTTCTCACAGCTTCTCAAAGACCAAGGTAAGGCAACTACTTCTAGATGGGCGTCTTCCCTACTCTCCCATCCTCTAGCAATAATTCTCAAAGTGTGGTCCCTAGACCATCAACATTTGTTAGAAATGCAAATTATTGGGTCCTACTCCAGACTTACTATGTATCAGGATAAACTCAAGAGACTTGTTAAAACACAGATTGCCAGCCCCACCTCCTTAGTTTCTAATGCCTACCCACTGCCATCAAATCGATTACAACTCATAGCGACCCTGAAAGACAGAGTAGAACTGCCTGTCCCATAGAGTTTCTAAGGCTATAATTCCTCACTCAAGCAGACTGCTTCATCTTTCTCCCACAGAGCAGCTGGTGGGTTGGAACCACTGACACTATGGTTGGCAGCTGAGTGCTTTAACCACTACACCACCAGAGTGCCTTAGTTTCTGACACAGAGGCTCCTAAAATGAGCACCTAACCTATAAAATTCAGCACACAGCAAAATCTAAATTATTAAATGCTTTGATCTGCTTGTGAACAAGAACTTGCTTATAACTAAGGAGGTAAGATTCTGAAATAAAAACATAATAGCTCAAAACAAACAAAAAATCATCTCTTTTTTTCCTCTGCACCATGATTCAAGGACATGAAAAAAAAATTCAATTTTAAAATACTGGTGTGTTTTGAATAAAAAACCTGCCCTATTTGTCCTTCCTTCCAGGAGAAAAACAGGTAAGAGTCACTTAATGTCCAGGATATGACCATAAGGTATTTTTAACAATAGGTGTTCAAGGGTCTCCAGAGTATCTTTTTATGTGTGTATTTAAATAAAACACTAGATAGACTGAGGATTTTTATAAAATTGGGACTACCTTTCTTTCCATCACCTTTCCTTGTACTTCCTGCTTTTTGTTACTTCTTTTCACTGTTTTATAACATTCATATCCTATCCCTAATTCTAATTCCTATTAAAAAAAACCCAAACAAACAAACTCACTGCCATCAAGTTGATTCTGACTCATAGCAACCTCCTTTGGGTTTCTGAGGTGGTAAATCTTTACAGAAGTAGAATGCCCAGTCTTCCTTCCGGTAGAGTGGTGGTGGGTTTGAACTGCCAACCTTCTGGTTAGCAGTCAAATGCTTTAGGCACTATGCTACCAGAGCTGCTTAATTTCTATATTGTTTTTAATTAGTTCTATAATGAAACTGATTCAATCCTAATCACTATTCATGTGCCTTGACTTTCTCCACTTTTGCAGTGCTGTTGGATGGGTTCAAA